ATATATTTTCACTGTTCAAATGCGATGGTCTTCGAACTTCAGCACATTTCGACGCACTTAACGACTTGGGCACAATTAGCATTAATTAACATAACTTTGTACCGAGACGCATTTAACATGAGTGTCAACTAATTTGATGCTTCGGAATTGAGTGAATCCATGGGTTCATTTCATGCTTCTCATTTCAATGGAGAAATGTTAAACGTGTTCACATTTTGTATAGTTTATTTGTGCTTCATTATATTATTTCTTTTGATTAAATAAAAAATTCGAGTTCTTTTTGTGATTTAATGGCGTCTGCAACATTCATTAAAATTTTATGCATAATTGCCTTGATTGATAAGTCTCATGTTCATTTCACTTCGAAAATGATTTTGCTGATTATGAACCCGACATGCTTTTGCCAGATATGAGTATTGTAGCTTAAGCATTAATACTTTAAGTATTGAAAATATGTACAATATAATTTTAATTAAAGATTGTATGCGGATTTTCGAGTTAATAACTTAAGTTTCATTAAATTTTATAGCACATTTTTAATTATCATTTAAAACGTAATTTAATTCGTTCGGAAATTAACTATACAGGATTAATTATTTCCACATTAAGCTTTTATAAATTAGCAACGATTTTTCTTCTTAATTAATTTAAGCTATACTGAAAAACTATGTATATGAATAATAAATTTATTTAAACATTTTGATAGCCACTGACTTTATGATTTATTTGTTGTAAACTTTCTAGATACGTAGTATATTTTACTAAATATTAAGAAAATTTTACTACTAAAATGTTTCCAAAGAGATTTTCTATAGAAATTTTCAAGCTTATAGGCACTTTTATTCATCAATTATTATTCGATTGTTGTTAATTATTGTCATACAAAATATTTTATTTCATTCATTTTTTCACTGTATGATACATAGAAGTACATTATAATTGAGTTCAATTCTCGCCGAGAAGAGACTCACTGAAGAATATCAAGTAAAGTACAATTACTAAAACAGTGTTTAGAAAAATCAGACATATTTTTGTAACAACAATGATGTTGTTTTCTGTTCCATAGTAATTTGACTTTACATTTGTAAGCACAAAACCAATTAAAATGAATGGACTATAATAGTAAACCATGCGATACAAACAAATTATTGAACACTGAATAACACTGGGTGAATAAAGATTTTTGTCGGAATAGAATTCACTCTTCGGACATTGGTGTCTCACCCGCAACATCTAAGCTGACCATTAAAGAGAAATATCTAGCGATAGCTAAAAAATCATTGGGTGAATAAAGATTTTGGTCGGAATAGAAGACTTAGTCAATATTACACTAGAAACATATCAACCAGCTGTTGCAACTTAAGCGAAACCTACTTAGCACTACGTTATTGGTGTTGACAGGTCGATGTACATATATTAGAGAGATATGTAATGCGATTTGGTTATCTCCGGAAACTCATCTCTTTCTTTTTATCTTTTCAGTAAGTGTTTATCTTTCGCCAGGTTAAGATTTAATATATTCCGAGCACCTTTTCTCACCGATCTGACAAACCTATCATACTGGCTTGCTTTTACTTATGAATTATGTTTTGAATTATTAACAGTTAACCATTTTTAGTAATTAACTGTAGTCCACGTAAAAGCCTTAGTTTCTTATATTCGGTAATTTGCGCTTGTGCAAAACTGACTTGTTAGCTAGTTGCCATGGGTGAGATGTTCACATCGGAGATTTCGATTTTATGATAGCGAAAATTATGTTTTATAGTTCAGTAAAAGCCTTCGAAACACCCGTTTGCATGAACTGTTCAAATTGGAAAAGACTGGATAAGTCAATAAACGGAAAAAAAAAAATCAATATGACCAGGCTAATGAAATGAAAAGGAGGCATAAGAAGAATAAGTCATTTATCATTTGTATCTGATAAGAAGAATAATCTGTTAATCATAGTGATCATTCGGATCACTATATTGTGAACTAATCGCTGCGAAGGATAATGTATGCATGTGTACGGTTTGTGCTAATTATATAGTATATCCCTTCTAACCATGAAGATTGTGCCTTACAGTTGATGCTTACTACAAATACATACGTCTCTGATTTTGACTACCAAATATATGTCTAATCTATATTAAGTTTTGTTTTAAAATTTAAAAATAATAGTATTTTTTAAAAACTGAATTTGATCTATTGAGATATCGTTTGTTACATTTGTAAATGAATGTGCGTACAGGTTCGCCGTGTGTGGCTCCATTTGTTGAATATAAAAATTTGTTCACTGCTGTTTTACGTGCTGTTGCTCATGTTTTAGGTGGTTTTACCGATTGTTACCCTATTAATTTCTTTTAAGTACAATTTTATGTATTTAAAACTTATTTACTTTATGCCTTAGCAACATTTTTTACAACTTTATGTTTGGTTAAAAACATAAATATAGCTTTAACAAACAATCAAACAAACAAACAAACTAGCCAACAAACAAACTGACAAGTAGACAAACAGACAAATAGACCAACAGATAAACAGACTTCAACTTAAATTAATCACGTGCTGGTTTAACGCGGGTTTTTGGTTTGTAAACAATTTGTTTACTTCAAATTAATTGAATGTTTTATGTTTGTACAGATCTGCGCATAAAATGTGTCACATTAAAAAGTCATAAATGGAACGATTTTTGTATTTAACATCATAAAACAGATTTAGATTCAACATAGTTATTTAGATTTCCAAATTTGAAATCATTTTAATAGTTTAAAAGATTTTTAAATTAATTTAGGGGAAAGTTGTAAAATGTTTTACTATAGGTTTATAGTTGCACTTGTGGATCATAAAAGTGAATTTAGAGCTAATAAAAATAGTTGATGTACATTATTTCAGCTGTTATAAAATAATATACGAGTATTGATATTTACAAAATGAAAAAGTTAAATAAATTTAAAATACAAATTTTTTTGAATTTTTTATATGGAACTAAATAAAATTTTTGTCTCTCTGTTAATGTAGAAATTTTGCTACATAAATCACAATATGAGATACACTTTTGAATGAAGAATTATCACGAGCATAAAAGCTTGTGTAATTGTGTTTTAAAAATATACACAGAAGAAAATATATGTATTACTAAAAGCCTTTTGCTAAATAAGAGGTGACTTCTTCAGATAATAGCCATAGTCATAACTTATGACAATAGTCACAAACTGCTACGTGAAATCTGCTACAGACTCGCATCTACATCTAAATTAACTTACGCAGAATTAATAATATTTTAATGAAATTTGATATAACTTTGCAATTTTTGATATAACATTTGATAAATTGAAATAAACTTTAATAACTTTTCATCACATATATGCAAAAATCCTTATATAAATTCAAGAAATATTCTATTTTAGCAGAAACAAAAAAAGTGTGGTATACTTTTTGTTACTCTTTTTTGAACCAAAAAAAAAAATCTGAAGATTAATCTAGAGTTAAAAATAAATCAGATGATTTAAAAGTTACAGATAATAATTCCCAAACGAATGCCTGGTTTATACATTGTTTCTGGAAGACATAACATACTATATGTCACTATATATGTCAATGTACTATCATTAGTTAAAAAATGTAATGCCATTGACAACTATTGTCTATTCTCGCAAAAAAACTATCTGAGTTAAACATGACTGTTGCAGTGGTGATGTATCTTATCTTCCTAGGAGGAGTAAATTGTGTGCCAGTGCTCTTTGTTAGTCAATAGCAGATGTAAAATATTCGGATTTCATTTTCTTCTGGTTAAAAATTATGAACATAAATTTGATATAAATTTAATTCACTCGAAGTATATACTTTTTTAGCGTTGTCTGTGCTCTGACAACTTCGGTCTTTATAATGTTTTTAGTAGTCTTATTGGTCTAGCATATAAAGAACATTAACTCGTGACATCACAATGGGTCGTTAATACTGTTAAACTTGGTTTGGGTGCATAAAGCTCTCCCTTTAACGTACATAAATACAATTACATGAAGTTGAAGTTATTGATATAAAAACCATTCCAGACCTCTTTTATTTAAAAGTGCCAGTTGGAGATACTGGATCCTTGATAATCATAGTCTGTGCAACTTTAGTAATATGAACACATTGGGCGAGATTACTAAGGCGCCTCCTATCTACTCTAAAAGTCTGTATAGAAATCGCTTCAGTTGCCAGTCTGCAGCAACATGGTTGGTTGTATATACATACCTGCTCACTTAGAAAACAGATTAGAGCCTTATATTTTATTAAGTTCATGTAAGTCCTCGGCAGTTATGTCACTAATCCAAATTTTAAAATTAAACAAAATAAAACAAACAAAACTACGTTATTGGTGCTATTCCCAGAGTTATTTTTTCCCAGTTTTTTAGTCTTGAGGTTATATTTTATGGTAATATACTTGACTTTATATAGTACTGCGTAATGAAATTTTATATATATATATTCTTCTGATCTTATTTTTGCAGTTTAAGTTTGTTACTTAGTTTGGTAATTCAATAAATCAAAAATTCTTTTATCCCATTTCCAGATTTTTTAGCTAGAAATAAAAGCTTAATAGTTGTTTCAGATCATATAGACATTTATTTTTTATGAATGAGCACTTACGAATTATCTGATAACAGTAAGTAGCCTTCTGAAATTGTATCGCTACTTTCCAATTTTAATCACTTCGAGGATTGTCCTTTGTCCTGAGTTCCTTTTAAAATATTTTTATTTCAAATATTGCTTGTCTAATGAAATACTATTAGAATATCTTCTTATTAACAAATAAATCTGTATATTATACAGTATTGCTTCCTGAAATTTAGTTTTCATTTTCAAAATAAACAGTTGAATTTATTAGTTTTCTGCATTTATGTCAGAACAACCAAGTTGATGTATTCATTCAAATATTATTACTCCATTAAAAATTATTTAAAGTCTATTTCATGAAAATCAACACAAGTCAGTCAAAGTTTCTTAAAAAAATTTTTATTTTGCTATTTCCTATTACTTCTTACGAGTTTTTGTATAATTATTCAATTTATTATTCTTTTTCATAAGTTAATAAATTAAATTTATTTAACTGCAACTTTAATACATTTTCGTGTATTTCGCACAAAATTATTCACTTGATCCTTTATTTGCCATAAATTTCAACGGTGGAGTTGATACCGCGGCTAGTTTGACTTTTTAGATTGACAGTTGCGAAACGATAACCTGGACCACCTGACCACAGAGAACCGGTAGCACCAGAGCTATTTGTGAAACGATCCAACACATAAACAGCAGTAATAGTTCTAGTGTTGGTTTGACCCTAAGAAGTTAAATAAAGTTGTTTACATCATGTAAAAACAAGATTATGTTTAAAAAATTTACTTACGGATTTTGGGAAATCTACTGTAACGGCTTGATAGCTGTTTACGAGTGGTGTGCGGACTACATTTTCGCGTAAGAGTAGAATATCGGTGCTGTTTCGTGTGCCCCAAGTACTGTTGATACTCTGGGTGAATGCTGCCAATGTGATCACGAAAAGTACGCTCAAAAGAAATTTCATTTTGTTAGTTCGAGTTGGTTAACTGCTACCTTTAAATTTCCACAAAATACTGTGATATACTGAAGTGTTTCAAAACGTTATATATAGGTGTAGTGCAAATATACAATCAATATCATATCAAAGCAGTGTATTGCAATCAGGCACTTAATTAAAATTCTTAATAAAATTTTATATTACTTTATAAAAAATCTCTTATTTTTTTCTATTTTTAGTTTGATTTAATATTTCGTTATGAATTGTCTTATCTTTGTTATCACACCAATTGTTTTGATTAATATTTTGTAAGCTCCCGAAACTGTAAACCACCTGTTTTGGCACTTTTAAAAGTGCGCCGGCGGCTAACAGCTCCAAATAATCTTATATGTGCATTATACTTCTGATAAGATAAATAATTATTTATTCATTTTGTTTTTTGCAAATTTCAGTTTTAAATGATTATGTGATAGCAATAAAATTCATGATAAGTAGACTTCCTCTTTGAAATAAACACTTCCTAAGACACTTGAGATTTTCCAGAACAAGAAATATATACATACGATTTAATATTCCTAAATGAGTCATTAGAAATTTGCATGGTTTTGTGTAATTAAATAAAATATAAAAAGTACCATATATGTTTATCTATAAAATTTATAAAAATGTTGATTATAATTTTTTTTTATATATCCATATACATATATACATATTCTTACAGTATATTTTATATAAGTGTTATATGAAAAGTTCACTGTCTGATAAAATTACAAAACTTAATGTAATAAAACTACTTAAGCAGATATTGTAGATAATGTCATTAAACCTTAAATTAAATTTGAAAATAGTTAACTAATTATTTAATTTTGAGTCTTATATATACACAGTAAATAAATGCGTACATACATATAAGAAATACTGATATCTATGCGAAGTACAGCACGCCACTGTGTATTTGATTATTTGTTTTAATTAATAACTTAATACACTAATACATTTTTTTATTAATTTTGTTTAATCAGTGGCGGTGATTTTTTTCTTATCAACACAAATGGGAAATGCAATCTTTTTTTTTTTTGGTTTATATATGAGTGATATATTTTGGTTTTTTTTCAATTATCAGAGGTAAAATAATATCATTCATGGTTTTTATTTTCAAATGGAAGTTGAGGTTTATAGTCAAATCAATCTATCAATTTATTTGATTAACTGATATTTACATGTGTACGTATGTTTTTGTTAATAACTAATATTAAATGTATTAACATATGGTTTGGAGTCAAGTCATAGTTCTGGAAGCTTAGTCGCGTTTAAAAGCGAAATTGAGACAAATTTCGCAGATTTGATATAATATAGAATGACTCCCTGAGACATGTTGTGAGGTTTTTCATAAGAAATTATAAATTTGCTGATAACATATAGCAAACAATATGTAATTGAGAATCATGAATTAAGATTTCATTTAAATAAACTGAATTCAGAGAATTGATTTCTTTTTTATAAATACACTGATGAAAATTTTTAAGTTATTATATTTTTGCTTTGAAATTTTATATTTACAGAATTATATTGTTAATAAAAAAGTATGATATTGATAAGTTTATATAATGTATATACCATTAGTAATAAGTAACGGATTACGGAGAAAGTTATTTGTATCATTAAGTACTAATGGCATTCAAGTGCATCATCACACTTTTTATAAACTGCGTTATAAAAATTGTGACCCATAAAAATTATAAGTGAATAGATCTGCATGTCAGGCAATAAATATGTTTAGTATTGTCCATAAGTAGAAGAATATTCTTTCATTGATAGCATCAGAGTTTTATATAGTATACGCCTTCACATTCTACATAAGGAAGGCAATAAGTTATCAGTGCATACTCGCCCTAAAAAGTTGTACATCTAAATACAGGCTTACGTCAAAAAATCTTTATTTTTATATAAAAAAAAAATTAAACAAAAAAATTAAAAATTAATATTATAACTGCTTTGTAAAATAACAACAGCAATATGAAAACACAACGTTCTTTCACGACCTTTCATAAACAGTTTAAAAATTAATTTTTCTGGAGATATACTATTTTCTCTGTTTTGGAATGCACTTGAGGAAATAAAAATAAAACGATGTGAAACAAAAATATCATTTGTGTTGTTGAAAATATTCAGATTAAAAGTAAAAAATCAAATGACACCCCGGTTATGTTAAGTCCCATATAACTAGGAGTTCCTTTGAATAAAGTGGGAGAATATTATAACCACAGTTGATATTTTTTAATGGAAACTGACTGTACGGATGATATTCAACTTTTCGCATATAAATTTAAATATTTCTTATTGAGGACTAATTTCGGAGTGTTACGATCCTAACACTCATCTTTCTCTCAGTTTACAAATTGCATCTACAATTGTGACAAATTGTTGTGAGCTGTAAGGAAGGGCATTCTTCACCAACGACTTAGTATTTAATAAATATTAATTCCACTAATTATTATTTATTTATAATTTACTTAATATTTAATAATTTTATAATTTTTTTATGTTTCATTGTATTTATAAGCTTATAAAGTTTTAAGTTTTAAAATTTATTATAATAATTTGTTACCGGGCTAATTGGTCAAATTTTAATATAAATAAAAAGACACTAATTTATTATTTATATTTAAAAATCGTTTATATTTTATTTCCGATATTTCGACTATCTTCGATAGTCATCTTCAGGGAAAACTGAATTTCGAAGATAGTCGAAATATCGGAAATAAAATATAAACGATTTTTAAATATAAATAATAAATTAGCGTCTTTTTATTTATATTAAAATTTGACCAATTAGCCCGGTAACAAATTATTATAATAATAATTTTTGGTCACAAATATAAGTATTTAATATTTTAAAATTTAGTTAATCAAGTTTCTTTTAATTTTTTCTGTGTAAACTTAAGTGAGTACATTAAATGTGAGCAAAAATTCAAATCAGCGCAAATACCAGAGTAAAGAATTTGCTACAAAAATTACAGAATTTGCTACATTTAGCAAATAACTTTAGTTTTAATCTCGCACTTGATAAAAACAGACTTGAATTAAAACGCGTTCTATATATATTTATTTTCAATTTAAGTGAATCGCGTCACTTAAGTCAGATTTTATTCATCTTAATAATTAATAATTCAAAAAAAAAAAAAATTAATTATAATAAAATTAATTAAATAATCTTGTATTGTTGTATATTAAAATTTTGACACTAAATTGATAACGCTGCCGGGAGAGCGAAGACTCAAGAACCAAGAACCGACAACCGAGAATCGAATATATATATATATATATATAAATTAACATACGCGAGTATACAAACGTATAAGTTTAAATAAATATAAACAATATATTGTCATATTCTAAAAATAGTTTATAATTATTTGAAACTTAGACAAAATGAACAATTTCAGTGTAATTTGCTTCTCGATTGTGGTTTGCATAGCCGCAACTGCGTATGCCGTATCCAGCACATGGGGCAACACAACGAACTCGGCGCAATTGTTGCATGTGGAAAATGTGTTTAATGCTTCATCGCCGGGAAAATACGTAAATCGTGAAATTAAATTTCCGAAAAATGTAAGATATCCGAAATAATGTATTGAGAACTAAAATTGCTTGCACATAATTTGAATAAATAATTACCGAGTTGAAAATATGAGGTGTGATTGGCAAATAGCTCAAATAAGGGCCTCTGGTATTCCCAATATTTATAGTGCATTATTGCATTCTAATGTTGGTTAGTATGTCTATCTTGGACTATAGATACATAATCACATATTATATTTTCAATATATTTGAATTTCAATGCAAAAGCGAAATTGAAATTTAATAATATTGTATCACATACTGTGTAGTTTGTTTTTGTTTTTTTTTTTTTGAAACGCATTTCAACTTTAATCTGTAAATTAAATGTATTTTTTATTGCTGTTGTTTTACATTTTGTAAAAGAATTATAATATATTTTTAAGTTTTTAATGCGTGCTCTCTAATGCAAATCAAAGTTGATTGTTAAGCGTAGTTCTACCGGAAATGTTTTGCAAATCATAAATTCACTCAACTGATAAGGCTTTTAGAAATAATTTTGCATATGCGAATATGTTTTTGCAAAAATCATAAAAGTTTCTTTTTTACAAAAACAAAAAAATTATTATTATAACTTTTTTTTTTTTCAAAATTATAAGTCTCTTAAATATATAACATAAAGTTGTTTTTGATGCTTGGTTTTCGGTTTGAAACAAGGTCATCATACATCATGGAACCACGGAAACATAAGGGCAATTGTGTGTAAATATTTATACACATGCCTGCATATACTCGTACATATATCAAAACTTATTCTGTTAGATTAATTTAATGAAATTTTTTAATAATGAATTCGAAAAATTTGCAAAAAATATACAATAAACACATATTGTATAAAATTAATATGTTATTTTAGTGAATAAGTGTTTTTAATACTGCGTCAATTTTTTAAAAGTTGGTTTGTTGTAATCTTCCTAGCAATAGTTATATTCGATTGATATATTTTAAAAATATTTATTTATGATTTTTTTTAATTAATTTTTTTTTTGACTGTTTATTTATAATGTGTAAGGCTTCTGTCAACAATTAAAATTATTTAAAAAATTTAAATATGAAATTATAATTTTTTATTAAATGTTTCTGGACTTATACTGTCAACATTTCAGTTTTTTGACTTTATCCTTTCGATGGGTGATTTTTATAATTTGTATTAAAAACTGAAAAATATGCATATATCTTTTATATTTATATAGTTTAATTTTTAACAAATTATTCATTCAGCTGACGTTTCTCAAATATACATTAGTACCACATTAAAATAAATTTTTAAATTTTTATAATAATGCAGTTTATATCAGGGGTGTAACCAACATTGTGCCAAGGGGTATGAGGATATATGTATACATGAAAATATTTTCTATCGAAGTTTTTTCGCATTTCACTTAAATAATTATAATAACAGTTAAAAGATTATTTAAAAAGAGGTGGATATACTAGAGAATATTTATTGTACTAGTTTTTCTACAGTTCTTTAAATTTA